TTTAATCGATCTTCGAATTTCCGATGCGAATGCGACCAGTATTCACCTAGAGTGGATGGTACAAAACAAGGCCTGCTTGGTCCACGCCTACTCTATCCTGGCAAATCCAGTCGAAAATTCCATTGTGCGTCAAACCTTTCCTGGCACGGAGACGGACGGATGGCTGAAAATATCTGCGTGTACGCAATATCGAATAACTGTTGAACCTCATTTGGAGGGACAATGGGTGTCCCTCAGCGTCTCGAAACCAGTCAGAATTTGGACACCTGCACTAGGTGAGTCCATATGGTGTAGTGTGTATCGATGTCACCCTTTTGAGTGGAATTTCTCCCTAGTATGAAAATAAAAATGTGTTCGAAAAACCTGGTCTTTATTCTGGTTGGAAGGTTTGAAACCCCGGGTTACTTTTGATCCCATGTCTTGTTTTTGGGAAAAGCGAATCATTTGGGAAGAGAATCATTTGGCTCCGTCTGGACAGCGCCATGCTGTAGTCCTACTGAATTAAGTAGAACACCTTTACCACCTCCAGGCTGATAAATTACAAGTTGTCGCCCAGGAGGATCAGTAATCAGGTACTGCTGTGAGGGCGAATGCGTGGTAGAAGGAGTGACAGTTGAGTTTTTCTGCCTCGCGGCTACACTTTTCAGAAACTCACGACAAACTGATTCATCCTCAAGAATGTTGATTACCGCTAGATGTGCGAAAGTGCGCGTCGGACGCAATCGATGGCTACTGAGAGGCGTTGGCCGCATCTCCTGTGACTTCTGGGACAAAGCAGTCTGTGACCCACTGCCAATTCGTTTATCACAGGATTGTGCGCGCGCCGAGTGTGCTTGATGAACAGTAGGTAGTTTGTAAATCTGTCGACGTATTTATCATAGCAAGATAGCTGTTATAAGTGAGACTAATGAACAGTGCACATTCGTGCTTCACATTGTATATTATTTTCTTGCATCTGAAGCCCTGTGTCCACACACTCTTCAGGCAACGTCTTTATGAATGAGTAAGGGCCTTTGCGACTTGATATGATACCATGGATGCCCACATGCAGCTGGAATGGAAGTTAACTATTACCAATCAGTTCTTTGCTATTTCATGCTTATCCTGACAAAAGGATAACTGGCAACATACCTCACAAGTAGAACTGCGATGGCTTACATTTTGACTGCGCGACTGAGTAGGATCTTCTATCCAAACATTCAACGGCGTTCACCGTTTTATGCAGGTGGATCTGTGGAATTAGGGTCCCGTACCCAATAAAGTTTGAACTCATTGACTAAGCATGGACTACATGTTTAAACTGCATTCTATGAGTGGCCGTTTCCAAAACTCAGAGTTTAATGGTCAACTGCGGAGATGAGCAACTGCAGGTGGGATATAACAAACTGTCTAACGGCATCATAAAATACCATTGGGACGGTGTGAACTCATGGCAACTCGCTGGAAGTTACTTTCGTTCACACTGATCATCTTTGAGCTCAAGATAACGTAGCGGTTAAACAATGAGGTTCACGGTTCGAAAGCAACTCCGGCATCTCTACTGCCTCTGTCTAGGTTTGGACAATCTGGCGGTATTTCAGTACTCGTGTTATCCTCGGATGGCCCGGAAGCAAGAAACCGAAACGGTGTTACAGCTGAAAGGTGATTATTAATTGGCCATGGAAATATACTGGCATTCTAATGGAAGAATTTCTCTGAACTATCAACCTCAGAGTATTCCGTCACTTTGTCTTTCCACCCTTTGGCAACATTATTGTCCATCCCATGATCAGGACTACATCTACTCTATTGAAAGCTACTCAAAATCAAACACCATATCACACTGATTTCTCCGTGTTTTGATTTCTCCAACTGGGAGTTTGAATGGCTTGTAGTTCCGTTCTTGAGGGTGCACAGTGGCGTTCAAGTTATAACGAAAGAACGCAAATCATAGCGAATTACGGTGACAACGATGTGCTCGCGAAGTATGCTGAACAAGGATACTAAGGTGCCAGGCTAAGGAGACCGTTCATCCTTGTCCTCAGCCTTGAGAGATTATCGATGGCGTGGACCGTTTGGCACTAGCCGTTGTATTGTTTTCGGACACATTTAAATTTCTATGGGAAGTAGGTACGACACTTCAGCTGTCCTGTACAGGCGAGTCTTGTTTAACCGCTCGCAAACGCAGTTTCTAAACCCACCGCCCCTCTTCTGCTCAACACAACATTCAATTCGGCTCCCGATTATTACACCATATACGGTTTACACATAACCTCCTAACCAGTATCTATAATTCAGAGCATCGATGTCATTGAAATTATTTTCCAAACAACATATAAGTTCATCCTGAAAGGTGGCCTTGAGTCATACACTCTACCTACTTATGTAGCACTAGAGTAGTATGAGTGTAAACCTCGAATCTGAATCTCTAGTAGGTCATTTCTGGCAGCTGATTTTTTACATTAGAAACTTTGAATCTTAGTTTCTAAGGGATAATAACGAATTATTGAAAATATCACTTAGAGCAATATATCCTGAGCAGCCATTGCAAATGTAACATCCAGTAATTTCTGACTGGTCTGAAGGCATGCTGTTGAGCAGTTAACAGATCGGAAGATATTCAAAAATAAACGCAGTAGTCGGACGATCAATACTTGATTGCTAATTTCAATGGATGCAGGAATAATGCTAAAGCAATCATTCCGTTGGGGGAAGAAGATCAGTAGGTCTCGTTGTTGGCTTTAATTCCTACCATATTGAATAATACGCCCACCTATCGAAATTTTATGTAAATACTGGTGATCGTGCGAACAGACACTTCATTTGACCAAATATCCTATGGACACCGTATTGTATACAACGGTTTCCTTAAGAGTTCAGATGAAAAAGGCTCGATTCAGGCCAACTGTACGCCTGTCGTCCCAATTTATCATCCCACTTAAGGATATCAAGTAACATCTTCCATTTCGATATTTAGGATGACAACGTCATTATAATAATGGAACAACTTCAGTCATTGGTGGTTCGACAGGATAGAAAGTAGATGGCGTCCTACTCAGGCATTCAAAACTCTCCTGTTAAACCTAGAGCCCCCTATGTGTTAGGGCCTGTTTAGTCTCACTGGATGAGACATTTTAGCATCTGGCTCAAGTGGACTTGACGATCCCAAAATGTAGCCATGTCATACATGCATGTGCAGCACAAATTTCTTATCCCTAAACAATAGCGGTCGCCAAAGAGGCACTTTGTACTTGAATTCTTCTTTAATCTATGTACGCTTTGTAAACTTTTCTTTCTTCGACAGTCACTGGTGCACCCAGAACATTTAATGTCCAAACAAGTGCCCAAGCAAGACAAAGAGTCAGCTGGCTCCAACCAGAAAACACGACTGATTGCCAGCATCTCTATGTTGTTGAACAGCGTTCGGTGAATGACAATGAGTTCATTACCCTTCTTGTGGAGCCAAGCGAGGGGCCTGATTTCGGTAAGAATGGCATACTTCATGTGATTTAACTCATACCGGAATTGATCCTAGAAATGTTCATGGAACTCAAAAATTTGAACCGCTCATGGCACGGAAAATAACTTGGGCTNCACTGTCGCATTTTTAGTCCGAAAAAGATGTACTTTTAATATACATTATCTCAAATCTAAGATTTTCGACTGAAACTTCCAATTGGTCCTGGACTACTACATCACTTGGTCCACCGGATCACTGATCCACAACACAAACTCTTCAACACCAAACCAGGTGATATTTTTTTTGGTTGGTGTTGCGTCACCGTTTAGATGTGCGATGGTCTGTAGGTCTTTAACTAAACTTGTTTACATGTTTTTGTAATGCACTACTCATAAGGCTGCTGAAAATTCCTCGACAGCGCACGACCGGTTTCACCCTTTCTGGGGGATCCTCAGGTAGGCACTGTCCCCGGGTTTCCGTCAACCCTATGTCCTGCTAGAAACCGAATTGCACGAAATTAGCAAACATACACTCATTTGCGAACTAATTTGGTTTTTCGGTAGACTCACCTGGAACCCAGCTGAATCTCTTGTTTGTGATGTTTCCACGGTTTCTCAGTCACCGGTTACACCGCTTACATAAAACCTCGGTGTGAAGTGATCTACAGAACACAAGGCAAAATCACTGAAATTCGTCATTCTGTGTTCTGTTCTTAGAAATTTTGTTTTGAAGGCGCATGACTATATTTGTGCTTGCTTGCTGAAATAACGCTGCGCTGGTCAAAAATGGCTGTAACGCGAAACTGATCCCTTCTAACCGACTCAGATAATTTTGGAATTCATAATTTGGTGGATAGATATCACAAGACCAGTTCCAGACAATCTGTTTTCACAGTTTAGAGTTGATCATGTTTTACTTGTTTTTCAGCGGAAGATCTCGAGGTCTCGCCTGGTTGCGTGAACTACAACTACAAACTTTACATTTTGTCCCAGCCTGGAAACGTCATTGGCCCCGCAGTAGTTCAGACGGCTTCTTCAACAGGCTGTGAGTGTGACCTGATCGCTTTGATTCGCAACTCTGACAAAGTCTTACAAAACTTGATTTATGTGTCTATACAATAGCTAGCTTTACAAAATTAACACATATTCACCTTTGAGTGGGTAATCGAACCTTTGTGGGTGCCGGGATTACTGATGAGATTTGCCTGATCCTGTTGGTAGTCCTTGATTAAGGCGGTGATAATACATGAACCTGCCGGGCATTTACTTCGTACCTGATTATCTTAGATGGACTTGGTGGTGTTTATTGTAATCTGTACAGTGTGGTTTTCTTTGTCCATAGAATACCACCCGTTCCGTTATGTAGATCCAGGATTTATTCTGAGTTTCAGTCGAACTTTTGCATCTACGTGTGCACCGAATGAGTTGTGCTACACTATTTGCCAAAGTTGAAAACTGAACAAGGGCCTTTCAGCATATATTTACAGATGAAAATGTATTGCCTTCTGACATCTAAATATGCCAGGTAACATGTAACGTGCCGTTTGAGTGACACAACCCACGTCGGTCGTCATTCCCACCCAACCGTCCCAGTCTACTACCGTGATAATTTCTGTTGTACTGGCTACCTGGACTTTCGGCTTTCAGGATAGCTCTCAGGTCGAATGCAACATGTGAAGTAACGACCATGTTGATGATTCTACAAGCAAATTTAAGAAATATTTAGATATCTTGATTAGATTTGTTGCTCGCAAGAAAAACAACGGGATTTTGGCACCATAACTGGATGCCATTATAATGGATCGTTTCCAAAGTATCGATGTTCTGCACTGTCTTCATCACTAGCTGAGCGACACATACATAGCTGATCGGTGCTCGCCCTTGGCAAACATACCGATGAGTCCCACAAGTGCGAAGGGTTGCGAGAATTGGATTCTAATTATTCTAGTATCCATATGACCCTGAGTGTAAAAGTGCATTTGGACAGTCAGACGAAATGGTGCGCTAAAACCTTGGTTACGACGGTCATTTGAAGAACATAATGGACACACATCGGTTTGCTTCACGGTCCGCAAATGTTAAGCACAATCTGGATGACTTCGAATAATCGCTGAAAATTTTCAATGAACAGAACTAAAAGTGGAACTCTGGGTCGTCATGGGGAAGTTCAACGGATCTCCTTCTGCACAATATGTTAAACAGCGCCTCTACGTTTGCTCTGCGGAATGGCATGATCAGCACGCTCATACGAAACCTCGTCAAGGACCATTTGACCTTTTTCAGTGAGGGCCTTATTCAACGTTGTCATTTCAAAAATATGCTGTATTGAATTAAAATCTTCACGAATAGTACATACGAGATCTATCAATGATATTACTTATAAGCACTTGGTCTGAGAATCTGTACCGAATCGCAAGATCCTCGTTCCGATCACATGTGTTGATTTAAGCGGAATGGGACAATCCCAAACGGACATTGATAGTAGGCCATTATGATTGTACGTTTCATATATCCGGTCATTCCTATCAATAGCAATGTCCAGTTAGAGCAGCCAGACCATTGATCTGTAGCACAGCTCCGGTGGCACATCCGCAACTGAAAACTGACGTGGCAGTTTAAGCATGTGAACCATGGAAATCGACAATTTGGCTGTGGTCTAAATGGAGAGCAGTCTCATGGTCGCTCAGTTCCCGGTAAACATTTGATGAAAGAGGACGGCCTTATTCCAGATAGTGGAAATTCCCCGGTCGGAGTGATTCGCCAATTCAGTTCCGTAGCAAAATTATTCAACGTATCCAGCTCACTTGGAGCTATTACTCGACATTCGCTGTGGGCATGAAAGACTGTCAGACTGTGCTCCAGACCACGAAGATTTGCGCCTTACTGACTGAATCAGAGTAATTCACTTAGACGGCAAGAGAGTGTCTGAAGCGAGTCTGCAATCAGCTGTCGAATCACAGAGGTTTGTTTTGCTACAAAAGAAATAGGAACTCATGACCCCGGTTGTACTGAGGGTGAGTTAAGCGACACTGTCAAATGAGGGTCCCAATCTATCTGTATATTTTTTAAGAAGTGTATGGGACCATTGTATTTGTAGTAACCTAAAACATCTTAAGCTGGAAAAGCTGTAATTTAAACAGACTTGGTGGTGCGTAGCGACTGGGTGGTGGTTGTGCGAACAACAACAGCCAATCCTTCGATACTCGCCATAACAACGCATTGATGGTGTCAACTCGATTGGTGATGAAGCGTTTACAATCGAATTACCCAGCTTCAGCGAACAAGCCAAAGACCATCTACGCTCCTGAGCTACCAACATTTTCCTCTACAGAATACTTCGTGTTATTTTGTGTCCTTTACGCTTTACGGCTAACTTGGTTTGCCATTTCATGTTCGCTGAATGAAATTTCGAACAGCATGTAGCCTTCTAGAAATGAAGAACGTGAAGCAGAGTGAAGAACTTTGAGTTATCCACTGATTTCAGGAATCTCATTGGATCAGATTACAGTAGCAGTTGTGATGGAAGTTCGATGGCTATCTACTTCCCTCTACAGTGGAATGTGTAGCCATTTACAACCTTAGGATCATTCATGTTTGCGGTAAATCTATCCCCGGTTTCCTCTTCGTTACCAGTTTGAATTCAGTCTGTATCACCAAAAATTGTGGTGAAATTTTTGCGGAGATTTCGTCCTGTAACTGAAGCCAATCTATGCTGAAGAGTCGAGAAGCATTGTATAGCTGTTTCATCCTTATTGGGAATCATCAGCAGTGCGCATCTCACGAAACTCCGGAGAGTCTCGAACCCGCGACCTACTGCCTAGTAGTTTGAACACTTAACCGTTCGGCCACGAGCGACTGATCAGCAGTGTGATTAACTCGCACTAAGACAGAATAAAGCGCCGCTCATCCTTCAGTCACGGGATCCACCTCACGCGGTCACTCGTGTTGACTGGCTCCTGGAGCAACGACTTCTCAGGTGGAAGTTTCACTCATCGGGTGAAATTAGTGGGCAGTTGTTTTTCAGTTTACAGGGATGTGAAATTTATCAAATTTTAAACTGGTTTTGTTGCATTTCGTGCTCCAATTCATACAGTTGACTAGGTTTACCGGCCAAATGATGCAAAAGAAGTAATGCCTGAAGTTTATGAGATGCTGTTTCGGGAGCTTCGTAACGGTAGAAGAGAACATAACCCAACCAATACTATGATTTCAACCCGGTGGATGTTTGACAGCATTTTTTTTATGAAAAAACCCCAGAAATGACTAGATAGCGGTTCACGCGAGGTTTCGAGGAATGGCAAGTGGAACGTTCAATTGTGCCTAAGTAAAGTCTTCACGGAGAGAGAAACGGATATTTGGCACATACGAGCTAAAACAGTCGGCCTTCAGTATGTGCAGCGCATCACTGTAAACTTGATCACCAAAAAGAACACTTCAAACCACATGTAGAAACCTGCCAATTTGCTCGAAAATCACGCAGGTCACACCACAAATAGAACATCAAGGACGACGGAAGGTCGTCCACAAAAAGGTGAATCTGCCAATCAATCCTTTTGAATTAAAACTAAAGTGGACCCCTTCAGGGGGGCGAATCTTTGAGAATAGGCTAACTTATTCATCAGAAATCAGCTTACAGGAGATACGAAAGACTGTAAAGGAGAAAATATTTTCCAGCCGCAATGATTCTCACATCCACGGAGTAGTCGGTCCGGGTGCGGTTTGGATTTGGTCGTATTCGCATATTTTGGTTAGAATACCCTTGAGTTTGCGCCAAAACTCTAAGCGACCCCCAAACCATTTTCTTGGAACTGTAATCGCATTGAAAGCCACGATATTGCATAATGCTTGGGCTCGGGGGACAAATGTCTAAAACAAACGAGCTCACTGATGCAGACGAATTGAATTAAGAAGCATTGATATCTATTTCACTAATGTTGAAACTGGCATAAAAACACTGCAATTGAAGACTGAAAGATTGCTTGTTTGAAAGCAACGATAATGTTGCATGACTAGAATCACTGACCATCAATCACGTGCGAAAGGCAACAAAGAGTACTTTTTATTGCAGTTGCTCATCCAGTAGTCCCTCAAAGTAGTACTACATCGACTACTAGATATCTGAACTTTAGGACATTTAAAACTGTCATCTTTATCGTTGAACAACTGTAAAACCGCGAAGCCCTGGACAGTCTTTGAATACTAGTTTCCACTTCATTACCATCCAAATGACAACAGTAATACATTACAACAAAATGAAATCTTCAGAGGTTGGCATGTCGAATTTCTTGTAGGTAACAATGGGCAAATGTTCCGCTGATTTTGGTCACTCGTCTTCCTTGTTTACCAATCACCCAAAACAATTCACAATAAAATCTAAATAAGTCTTGTTTGCCAATCACTCAAAACAATTCACAATAAAATCTAAATAAGTGAACATAAACATGTATGCATACGCACATGTTGTTCATTACTTCTATTTTCTATATTGTACAACGCGATTCCCACTTTTTTGTTATTTTGGTCGGTGCCTATGCCACCCT